TTTAAATTTAATCTAGTTTTCAGGCAGAAGTTAGACCAGAAGAGGCAATGCCATCTGATACCCTCCAAGGACCTTCATGCCACAGAGCACGTGTGTTGCACGTGGCAAAAGTATCTTGATGGCTGCGTGAGGACACACTAGAGACAAGTAAGGTGACAGTTCAGGCTTCCTCATTCCTTAGGCTTATCCATGGGAGGAATCCCAAGTAGTTTGTGCCTGACTACCCAAGCAGCAGATTTTCCTTCATGTGGTGTAAGACATAATATGCAGTTAGAGCAAGAGAGCTGCCACTGCACAGAGCCAGGAACCACAGGACAAGCTTTAATTAATGTGCTTGTTTGTCCAAAAATGGTTGTGTACACATCAGAAGCCAATAGTCAAAATAATCTTTAAAAGTTTTAAAGGAAAAAAATTGAGAGTGAAAAAGCCCCATCCAAAAATGATTGTGCTTTATCAGGGGAATAAAGACCTCACTGGTCAATTAGCTTGAAAAATTAATTAATCAAGGACAAATGTAATTAAAGTTCAGCATCTTAATAAGCTGGTGTTGTCACAGCCCAGTTTGGACATATCGATCTTTCGTTGACATTTTTAAGGCTTTCTGTGGATTACCAGTGCATGACCAGTGTGTGAAAGCTTGTTAAGCCTCCACGTGCTCCGCCTGGCCCTGGCTTTAGTGCTGGCTCAGTGCGATCCCCGCTGCTGGCACAAGCTCTGCGGGACTTGAACCTTGCAGTGCTGGGCATTGTGCTTCTCGCTAATCACTGTATGGACTTACTCAAGTGTGTTGTACAAGCTGGGGGCAAATTTGTGAATGTCCAATTATCTATACATAACTTTTTTAAGAGGAGCCAACCATGCTTAGGTATTTTTCTTAGGATCCTGCAGTATCTTTCTGTAACAAGGCAGGGGATGCTTTCAGCTTGGCTTCCAGGTTTGGCTGGTATCTCCTTTAATGAGTAGCTGAGAAGTCTGTGCAGTAGCCCTTTCAAACTGCACAACACTCGCATCCCTCTCTCCAGGTCCCCTATAGTGAATTTAAAGTTCAAAATGTTTTTAAATACCTTGACTGTCATATTCCTATTTGGGTAAAATCTGTTACAGCAGCTTCCAGCCAGATGCCAATTAAAATGTTACTTTTGGAAATTCGTCACTTAATCACAGACCTCTTAGCCATGCAGTGCTACTTTAATTTTGAACTAGTTTTGCAGACTGTTGCAACAGTGAGGTGAAGTTGTTGATAGCGTATCTGCCTCTCTTTTCCTTTCATTTAGAGAAAAATAACAGATTGTGTGTCAGAAGCTCACTATATATTTTGCTTTTTTTTTGTTGCTTTTCCTTTTCTGCATCACACAGAAGTGTTTTAGAGTAAATGTCTGCAGCATGCATGTGTAGTTTTATCCTATCTTATTTTTAAATGGTTAACTGTGCATACCTCTAAATTCACAGTCCTATTCCAAAAATACCTGGGGTTTATCCTTATCATATTGTCCAGCTAATGGAAAGAAATAGGCTCAAGTGGATCAGTATGGATTAGATTTGCCTCTTACGAAACAAGGTACAAGATCCAGAGGGAGAAGCCAGAGCCCTGCCTTGGGAAGAGCTCTGTCCTCGGCAGGCCAGGGAATCCCTTGGCAACGTTGCATACGCTGAGAGTACCGGGATGCTTCCCATCCGCTTCGCTGGAAGAAAATGCTGTGCTGGAAAGGCATTAATTTGTTTACAAAGGTTTAGAGGTTTCTGATACTTAGCTTATATCACTCAAAGTTTTAGTTACATTTTTTGTAACCACAATTAAAATTTGGTTTTATTTTGTTTCCTTTAAGTTTACCAAATCTAGCATACTTGGTAAACAGGACAGGCAGCTACACTTGTTTCTTCCAAGTGTGGCTGAACAGATCCAGCCCATGGGAAAGACATCCCCGCCACCTCCCTGCAGTGACATTTTGACAGCTTATGGTATTTTTCTGCCATGTTGACAAGATTCACTGATCCTTCTGCTATTTTCATGAGTTGTTTTTGCCTCAGCATATGTCTTTTCCCCTTCTCCGCCACTCCCTCCTTTCTGCCCACGTTCCCAAAAATCAAATACCTTGCCTGCACCAGACCTGCAGTTCAGGTTAGATGGATGTTTTGCCTGACACCATATGTCTATTCTTGTGTCCTGAGTTGTCCTCTTCCTCCTCTTCAGTTGTCCCCATTCACCTTTGGTTGCCAAGTTCTTCCACCAGCAAATGTTTTGATCGTTTGCTGACAACACTGAGACTTCAGGTATTTGGTAAACAGATGTGTCACGGCCCACAGCGAGGAATTTGAATTCCACATATTGGCTTGGGAGTCTTCAGTCAAAGATATACTCCAGTGCAAAAACTTTCTTGGGTCTTCTCATGGCTGCAGCAGAACTACATGAATTAAATTAGTAGGTTATTAATTGTGTTTAGCAGTGAGGAAAAAATTTAGCATAGTTTCTAGATATTTTATGTAATTTGGGGGAAAAAATTATTCATAAGATCAATAAATGTTTGGTTTCCTGCTCCCACTACAGAGTGAACTCTTGCTACGTCAGTAGGGAGCCAGAGAGAGATACTACATGAAATCATCTGATGCAGCTCTGCAAGCAGTTCCTAGGCTGGGCATTGTGGAGAGTATCTTCCTCAGTGCTAAAATTCCTGTCCTGCTGGTCTTTGTCAGGTTGCATGCAGTTGACCTTTATGGCACACTTTCTTGGCAGGTATCGTCACACCTATTTTATAGGTAGATAAACCAAGATATTTGTCCAAAATAACTCACAGATAACTGGAAAAAAAGTAGACCAATATGTGTAGTCCTGCTCTTAAAGCCACATTGAAACTACCTGCAAAACCCTGGGCATTCACAGTGCTCGACTATCCTGTAGGATCTGGAAACAATGAAGCAGCAAACGGGAAAATTCATTCCCAGATGAGACAGATTATATTGGTCCTCCTAAACCCTGTTTTCTGTGGCAGTGATGTGAGAGCTTTTTGCCAGCTCTCTGCACAGTGACTCAGCCCCAGAGCATCATGTCCCTTGTAAAGATAGGTGTTCAAAGCCTACCTGCTCAAAACCTAACCTATAATGCAGTGAATACCGGCTGGTAACCAGCTCTTGAGTCTCACTTCAGTTTCCACATCCCCACCACCTCTCAACATGAGGAAACAGCAAATATTTGTTGTAATGTTAAACCCCAACTATGATTTTAAAATATCTTTAAGTCATACTTATAACTAGGAAAACAGTGACTCAGAGCCAAAAGTGCCTCTTATAGGACTCTGAATATCCAAAGGTGAAATAAAGAGTGGGTTAGATTTGTTACAGCTTTTTTTTTTTTTTTTTTGGTCATCTATTCAGTGTTGCTCTTCATTATTTTATTTTTTTTTTTATCCTTTTGAAAGCTTTAAAGCCTCCCTGCATAACCGCCTCTGCTCCATTCACTGCTGAACGGACGGTGCGCTGATCTTTTTCTTGGCGGGTAATGGATTTGGTTTGATCGCTTGACACAGGAACAATAGGGGGATAAACAATTGCGTTCGCGCCCGTGCAGCTCCCCATCTGTTGAGTGTGTGTGCCTTCAGAGGGAGCCGGGCAGGGACAGATGAACACACCACCCAAGCCTGATGTTAATGACATCAGTCATACAAGCAGAACATGTGGCGCAATAAATCAAAAACTAATTGAAGTTTTGCTTGATTATATTGCCGCCCCACCGCCCGTTGCAAACACGGCGTGGTTTCCTGAGACAATGGCCCCAGCCCCGCAATGGGTTCAATGCCCTTGGACAGCAGGAGGCTGCCCTGGAAGGTGACAAGGGATACCAGCTTCTCTTCACTCGTGTCTTTCTTGAAACAGTGACACCTTCCACTCAACTAAAATGCTTCCAGGTTCAGGATGTGTATTTCACCAATATTATTATTTCAAAGAAGAAACATTACATGAAGATGTCAGTGACAGCCCGTATTTACTGGCACTTTCCATCCGAGACTGTTGGTGGCAGATGTCTATAGGAGAAGACAGCACTAGTTTTTGTGTTAATTACATACACGTGCTAGTAATGAAGGCTATTCATTAGACTGACATAATTTAATATCATTATTCACACTTGAAAGTGTTTCTGCTACATCAGTTGCTGGAGCCTGCTAGCCAAAATTTTCGAGCTTAGGTGTCCATGGCAGCAGTAAGTCACCAGCAGTTGAGGGGGCTGATTTTCACAGATGTGGAAAGGAACAATTTTTGATGGGAGCATTAAGGAATGAAAAGCTTCAGCAAGAAGACCCTTTATTGAAGTGCATAAATATGGAATTAGGCCCCAGAGCCATCAAGGCATATTGGAACTCATATGAGCCACCTGCCCTCCCTCTGCAACCACTGTAGTGTAGGGGCATATAGACCTGTGTATGTCTGCCTGACGTGCCCTTCTTTAGTTATCTGCATTTGAAATTTTACACTAAAGTGCCCAGGATTCGGGTACTAGTTTAGGAACTTAAAAGGTAAAGCACAAAATGCTTTTCTTAATACACCTGGATTCAGCTCCTCATTATATGGGAGGAGAAATTTTTTACAATAAATGTGTTAAGGTACACAAAGTATTAACCCAACTTATTTTAAAAATCCTTGCAGTACTTCTGTAAATGTTTATTTGCCTATAAATTGTCTGCACAGAACAGACTTCAGTTATCAGCCATTTATTGTAAAGGCTTCTCCAGACTGGTAAAAGGAGATGTAAAATAAAATGCTTCTATCTGAGTAGAGGCTTAAGTAACAGCTAAATTAAATCTTTGCATTAATAGTATTCATAGAAAGGCAGATGGGAGCAGAAAATGTTGCAATGAAGAATATGGAATGAGATGAGATCACAGCATCAGTCTGTCCTTTGTAGATCTGGACAATGATCACAGAGCCAGATTGGATTAGTGAAACCTATTTACCAGAAGTTCAGAGCGGTTGCATGAAGCTGAAAGGCAGTCAGGAGAGAGACGTGGAAAATGCACCAGATTTACAGCTGCAGCGACGAAAATTTGGAAGTTTTCACCACTGTGATTTCATCCAAATGTGAGTACATTCAAACTGTAGCAACCGGTACGGTGTTGTCTTTCCGATGGATGGGGTGTTTGGCAGCAGGGAGATCTCTGAAGTGAGCAGCTTCTCTGTTCTGCCGTGCCATGCCGTGCCATGCCGTGCTCTGCTTGCAGCCCGGTGCTCACTGCTTATTTCTGGAGCTAATCCGTGCAGGTGCTTCGACATTGTGGCTCTGTAAAATCCTAGCACTGGCAAAACTGGGAGATCTGGAATCGGTGTTGATGTACCTATGAGGTAATTGCGAAAGTGACAGCTTGCAACTGTGTGGCTATTCTGTGTAATAGAAAAGAAAATGAAGTTCCGCGAGCAGTTAGCAGCTCAGATGAACTGGGTGAACTGCATGAATGTTGAATTTCAGTCTGCTGGCTCAGTAAGTGGAACATTTCCAAAGACATGCCCTGGAAATGAATGCATGATTAACATTAATTGCTGGTAATGAAGAGTAAGAACCGGACAAAGCCCAGTCTGCATTTGATTGAACAAATTAGTTTAAACTCAATGGCTGCATATTTCAGCAACAAGAAAGCAGGTAAAAGCAAGGAAAACAAATTGTGGGGCCAGATCAGATCTCTACTTGCAAGCTGCGAGCATGAGCTCTCAGCTGCTTAATTTCAGAATATAAGTGGAAATGACAAAGTGAACCATCAGTTTAATTGCTTTTGTTGCCCGAAAGCTGGACTGTACAGACAAACATCCTTTTGCGGGCAAATCCAGAAACATCATCTGCAAGGATTCATTCTTCCCTTCCTGCTTCCACTCCCTGCAGAAAATCATGTTTGTGGGGAGAGCCCTGCAGCCCCACTGTTTGCATTGCTGCCATTGTGTTCCTGTGCAAGTGGGTCGCTTCTGGCTACATCTGTGATTCACTCTTCCTTCAGTGGCTATTCAAGTAGCTGCATGTTTGCTGGTGCTCTGTCCCTTTTATGCCTTGCCCTTCTTCAGCCCCTGTAAGCCATTTGCCACTCGCTCTGGCAGACTACAGGCAGTGAGTTGGACTGTGGATCAAACATACTCTGAAAATAAGCAAATTTACTACCATTAGACACATTTATGTGCTGTTCCTTGTGCACCAGCCTGGGTACCGATAACAGCACAACAGTATTTGCTTCCGGTAGAAATCTGTATAAACTGTGGTCCTCATATTGCCCAGCAAAATATATAAAATATCAGAGAGATAAGAAGATAATTCTTTACATCACTAAACATTTCTGCACTCGAGTGTTTTGCTTGTGACCAATTAGTTTAGTCCTCACACGAGGAAATTCCAGAAGTAAAGGTGACTGCAGCAGCTTCAAAGACAAGTTACAAGATATTCCTAGGGAAAAAAACCCACCTTTGCGATGTTTGTCTGGTTTTCATCCCACACTCACCATGGTTTAAAATATAAAACGTGTCCTGCAGGAGAAGGCAGTAGGGATCCCTGAGGATGTCACGCTGTGCAAAACAGACTGTGATCGACCTGACAGCTCAGCAGGCTCTCAAGCTCTATACAGGCAGATAACTTACTTGTGGGGAGCTCAGCGTGGTAGTACCCTGCGCTGCAACGGGTCGCCGGCGGGACCCGGGGCAAGCCTGATCACCTCCCGTGTTACTGTCCTCTTTCACCACGGGCAGGGCATAGGCCAAATCTTTATTTCTATCCAGTGAGGTCCTAATGCTCAGCACTTGTGTCCTCACTGGGGTATCAAGGGGTGGTGGCTTTTAGACCAGCGCAAGGCAAGCTGTCTAGGAAGAATGACTTTGGTCCTGCTGCCAGCTCTGCTGGTACCAGACCCCTGGAAAGCCCAGCCACTTATTATTCCTGCCATCAGAGAAGACGAGTTTGGCTGCAGTAATGAGCAGCCTTGGATGACCTCCATCTGCTTCCACAGCTTAAAAACTCTTTGCAAACCTTAATATTGATAAGCACTGCAACTCCTGGAGTTGAAAGTATGCAACAAATGTAAAGGAAAGCTCCCCAGGAGAGCAAGTCACCCATCATCCCATAATAAACCTTCCTGGCTCTTCAAAAACTTCGGATTATACATGGAGCCTGAATAGGAAACCCCCATTCACGTGCCTTGCCCTCAGGGTCAGCCTTCAGAATAGGAGTTAATTCTCCAAATTTGGCAGGTTTTTGCAGGCCTGTTTTTGTCACTGACTGCTAAATCCTGTAATCATGACTCTTGTAGCCTGAACACAGGGGAGGGTAATAATTTTAAAGAGCAAAAGGTAAGATGTGATGAGAGAGAGAGAGCTGGGAATATCACAATCTTTCAGGCCAGTTTCAAGTTAAACTGAAACAACAAATGTTTAAAGAGTCTTCACTTTGTCCAAAAAAAAACTTCACCCAAAACCAATTGCTTCAGTCCAGTCAAAAGTTTGGCTTATGGTCCTGGCCTCTTCTGTGTCTAGTGGCTAGCAATGCTGGTTTGCCCATGATTTTAGTGTCTTCATGGGTCTAAGAAATAAAATTCAGAAACAGACTTTAAGCAAAATGCCCTAAGTCAAGGAACTGAATGGGTCATTTTGGGGATTGAAAAAGACTCAGCTTAGTGCAAATGTGCTTTGGATATGATGCAATCAAACTGAAATGATGTCACAAAGCAGTTTTAGCTTATTGAAAAAAAAAAAAAAATGTCTAGATAAAATGTTAGTCCTCTCCAAAAGTTAGCGTATACACTAGTCATGTATGAAGGTGGCTGGATGGAAAGAGAAGCTCATTTCCTTCTGAAACATCATTAGGTGAGAAGCAAGATCAGAACTCAGGAAGGAGAAGGACAGTTCCTCCTGGAAGCCTATGAGGAAGGTGCAGAAACTTGGGGAAGGTTGTTGTCCTACCCCCGTAGATATCTGCATTGTGGAGCTAGGACATATTCTCTGAGGTGACATTAAAAAGGCCACCGCTAAGGCCCTCCTGCCTTGCCACCTGCATGAGGGTCTTCTCATGGTCTCCCAAAAGTTTCAGCCTGACCAGCATTTTCAGCGGGCACCACTACTGAGAGTGTTGCCTGGGCTTGTCCCTCTCCAGAGCACTCTGACCATGTTTCTGTTCTTTTTGCAGCATGTAGTCCTGCCCGGAGACGAGCCAAAACTACGCAGCACATCCTAACAAAGAGTGTAAGAAAAATCTCCCTTTCTTCCCTCTTCTTTTTTTTTTTTTTCAATTTTTGCCTAAACTTATCCTTAAAAGTGCCATGGATAAATGAGAAGCAGATCTTTCAGGGCAAATAAGTGTATTGGTGTCTGATGCAGGGAGTGGGGCGGGAAACAGAAAGGGGAGTTTCTGTGAAGCAACAGTATTATTTACAGAAGCACTTTGAAAACTCAAAAAATACTGTTTGTCTGTGCAGAGCTAGTCAGAATGAACATAACAGCTTGTCAACATGGGTCATCTGAGGGAATCACAGACTTAATTCTTATCCGTAAAGCCCTAATAATAGTGCCAGAGGGACAGGCAGGAATGAAAAGCGAACAAATCATGGCAGTACCTACGTGCATTAATCAAGGAGCCAATATCCCATTTCCCAGGGAATTTGGGATAAAACCACCAAGCAATGGACTGTAACCTCAACTCAAAAAGATGTCTCTCAGAGAGCCACAGGAGGATGCTTGTCCCTTGGTCCTGGTGGTACTTGCCTGTCCTCGACTCGCCCTGGTACACCGGCACAGAGGGCACAGCCAGAGCTTTCCCCATTCCCCGCAGGTGAGGTGCTCCCCCAGATTCAATAAGCCAAGCTCCCAACCAGAAGAATCCCTGACTCCACTTTCTGCTCTGCCTGCCCTTCACAAATGCAGAGAAAAACTAACAACTGAGCTCTGTCTCAGTAAGTGGTTTGATATTTTAATCCCAAAGGCAAGATGTGCACAGCCCTGGAGAAGAGCTGGTTCCCCCTTTGCTCTCCCACAGCCGCTGCTGCTGGCACATGAGCCATTTTCACAGCCCTCGTGCAAAGGAGCCCAACCGAAGGCCCTGGGGTCGAACTGCAGCTAAAGAGCAGGGTGGTGGCTTGCAGCTGGGCACAGGGACAGGCACGGGCACAGGCATGGGCATGGTCCTTTCCTCCCCACCCAGCCGTGCCTGGCCCCCCACCCAGCACAACCCTCTTGCCTGCAACACTGTGCTGCACAGTCTCAGCTTTTTTCTCCTCCATCCCCCCTCTTTCGTGACTGGGACTCTTGTTCCCTGCCGTTCTCATCAATGCATCTTTAAATATTTTTGCCTCTGATTATTATGACTAAATAAATAACATTAACAGCAACAGTAAAAGAACTGAACATTTTTCCATGCTCTGAGAAAATGTTTTCCAAGTTTGGACACTTCAATATATTGGTTTGGGCTTGAGGTTTCTTGTCTTCAGAGCCATTTTTCCCTCCTTAGACCCACTTGGCCCATTCACAACACCTTCCATGATCCTTTTATTGCAGTTCTGACTTGCAGGAATGACAGCTCCTGTCTCTTGTGCATATCAAAGCACTTTTTACAAGCTTTGAGCCTCTTCTGCCAAAGCATTTCTTCTCACTACAGACCCATCTCTTCTCTAGCACAGACTTTGTTGAAATATTTTGCTCCATGGCCTTTCCTTTTCCCATGCCCTATCCCACTTCCCAGCCCCATCCTCATTTGTAGATAGTCTTCTCTTCATATTCCTGATTCCTTAATCTCCCCACAGCACTGAAGGTCCCCACTATTTACCACACTTACCTATGCACTGAAAAAACAGCACCACGTTCACTCCTGTCCCCCCTTTTGGTTATTAAAGCGGATCACAGGATCCCAGTACTTCACAGCACGCCTGAAGTGGCCCCCAGGAACGGTCAATAACAAGCCTGTGGTGTTTGAGTAAAAACTATGTATCTATGTATTTTCTCAAATTGTGAAAATCTTATTTTCATCTCATAACTCAGTCAGGTTTTCAAAATTACTCTTCATTCCAAATAAGGATGAATGTCAGAGTGTTGGAGTGTTGCTCAAAATAAGCCACTTTGAGATACTCCTTTTTAATTTGTTATGCCTTTTGTATATTTTGTTTGTCATATAATATAAAAATAGCAGAAAAATCCAAACCAAAACTGAACTATTCTGACTTAATAAAACAGAACTCTCAGATAGTTTCTCCAGTTTCTGACAAAATAGATACTTTCCCAACAAAATGCTCCATTTCTTCTAACCAGAATTTTCTCATAAAACTATTCAGATGGAAATTTTCAGCTAGCTTTCATTGAAATCTAGGGCAACTGTATGTCTGTTACGATGCTCCAAATCTCAGCAGATAGTTGTTGTTTCCGCTGAGTGGTAGCTTCTAATATTTCATTTGGATTGGATCAACTGCTGTAGCAGCACTATACTCATAAAGGTCTAAGAAAATATAAGTCGCTGGTTTGTTGCTATATTTTTATAGTTGGGTATTTTCTTTTCTTTGGGGCTTTCCTGACCCCAATTAAAGGTGTCCTTTGATTGGCCCTTAGTCGTGATGCAGGCAGCATCATATTAGCAGTGGGAGCACTGAGCCTGATGAATGGTCTGCAGCTCCAGCTAAGAAAATGAACAAGTCTCTCAAACCAAAGCAATCGGTACAGTCAACCCTTAGACTTGTGCAATGCCTTCTTCAGCATGATGCAGCTGTTTACAGCTCATGCTCAAGCATTCAGATAAATAGTGCACACTGGAACATACGTGCCTGTCAGGAAGTTGTGATTGCCAATTTCTAGACCCACACAAAAGTAGTAGAATGATTATTTCTTTTTCCCTTTTACCTCCGCACCTGCGGTTAGTGCTGCAGAAATGCCTCAGTCAACATGAAATCTTCTGCTCTGGTGATTGCAGTGGATGCACAACTTTAATCCTCGGCAAGTGCAAAAATAGCAAGCAACATGGACATCTGCCAGACTTTTTTCATGGCAGAAATACTCAAGCAGTGTAGCATTAAGTGATTTAACATTCAAATGACTGATCTTGTGGGGTAACTTCCATCACATTCAAGAACCAATCCCAAAAGCATTATCATGACTGTTGGAAGGGTGAGAGAAAGGGGGAAACAACTTTTTTTTTTTAATTGAATGTTTCACAAACATGTTTTTTTACAGTTCCTATTGCCCTATTAAGAGTTATTTCCAGGAAGAGTAGGCCCTGCCCTTCCCTTCCCTTCCCTTCCTTTCCCTTCCCTTCCCTTCCCTTCCCTTCCCTTCCCTGAAGAAATACAGTATATATTTTTTTAAAAGTTCTCCCCCCTTCCCTTCCCTTCCCGTCCTTGCCCTTCCCTTCCCTTCCCTTCCCTTCCCTTCCCTTCCCTTCCCTTCCCTTCCCTTCCCTTCCCCAAAATCCTTTGGTTAGAACTCTAAAACCAATTTGGACACCAATAGCTGGCTACTTTGCAGAAAAATGGAAAATCCCTCTGTGTATGCTAGTGCTGCCACATTAAAAATTAGACCAGCATTAGACCATGAAAAAGAGCTTAACTCTACAAATCTGGTGTTTCCACCACTAACAAGCACTTCACTGTTCAGACTCTAAGTTTCAAAGTTTTATCCAAAGCCAGATGTTTAATTGTCACCTTTTCTGGTTGGTTGGGCGGTGGGATTTTGGGTCGAAGAGCACTGGCTGGGTTGTTGGAACGTTCTCTGCACTGCTCTGCAACCCTCCTGCATTCTCTGTGCTCTCCGCTTACAGCTAATTCCAACAGTGGGTATGCCAGGTGGTCAAATCCACAAAAAAAGAGACTTTGCTGAGCTCTGAATTCAGAGTCAGTATCCTGCAAACAGACTGAGCCCGTCAAGGTTCTAAAAACAGTAGTTATTTGGCGAGCAGTTTACTAATTCTGCATAGTTTGGCTGACTCTGCCATTCACAGAGATTTAAATTCCCTAGTACATCTAGAAAAGAGAAGTGACTTCCAGCTGATCCTTCTGCCTTACCCTAGGTACCCTAGAGAAATGTCAGCTGCAGTTTAGATCAAAACTGCGCTACAGCAGGTTTAGTTTCCTGACCTAGATAAGTCTTTACACATTACAGTAATGGGTGAGGTAGCCGAAGTGACGGTGAAATCTTGAATTAGGATATAAGAAACTCCAAAACTGTACTACAGCCAAATGCTGCAAACAAAGATGTTAACTGGAGACGGGCTATAGAGATTGCGCTGTTGTCTCCAGCTGTAATGGGAAATGGCGTTGCAACTTATTTATACAGGTTCTTCTGCTCGAAGGTATTTTGGTATAACTGATAGGACATGTTACAGGGAATCCTGAAAATATAGACAATGCCCCTAAACAATTCCTGCTATTAATGGAGTTAAACATCCTGCTTCCTTTCCCCAGACTATATTTCATCCTTTGCAACACACAGAGAGATTCTTACGTTTCAAGTCAGCGGTGTTTTACACTGACCAAATAAGCCACTTTCAGGCTTAGAGACCGCAGCCAGCACCTGACTTACCAAAAATGCTCTTTCTGTGACCATGCAAAAGAAGCAAACTCAGATGTCTCAGTAGCAGAGGGTTGCAGACACATTCTGTCACACACCAAAGAAGACTGAGCGTGACCAAGAGCACGGCACATATTTCCAGAACTGGTGGGAACAGTGAGCTTTGTAGTGTTCCTTGAAAGCCAGAGGAATAGTTCACGTGAGGCAGACTTCTAGCGCTGTCCTGAGAGACCCCTGCCAGCCACAACCTCATCATATTCGTAATGAAGAAGGGTATCTCCACCGATGTCACTGTGGCGATGGAGGGTAATGCCTCTGGTAAGCAGCTTGCATGGTTCAGGTGGACGCAGGAGCCTGCAGCCTGTGAGGAGCTGCTGCAGAGGGATGGGGAGGTCCTGGAACTGGTACAGGCGCAGCTGGGTGAGAGCCGATGCCAACTGCTTCAGCAGCAAGAGGAGGCCTTTCATCACCAGCATCACCCTTGTTTCTGAATTATTGGCACGATGCTGAGGTTCAGCTCTGCCCAGCAGTGCCAGATTCATGGTCAGTAGAGCTGGCCCCCAGCCACAGCCTCCTTTAGCACATGCTTCTCTTCAAGGACACTAGTGCTCACTTTGACTTCAAAGCAATGCTGGGCAGGTCCTTAAGTAGCTTACAGAGCAGGGACTGTATTACACTGTGTGCCAAAATCTACAGAGCAGAAAACCCCTCTTAGCTCTTGGATTAGGCTTTGGTTACCTCACCAACCCTTTCTAGCAGTATTTTCGCCTGCTGTTGGACAGTTTCTGCCCCTTGTCCTGCTGGTTGGTAGGATCTAGGTCATGTAGCCTGTTCAAGACTCCTGAGAATACATGGAGTCAAAAGAGTAAAAAGTGGTCAGGTTGGAGTTTTTCTTTTTTCCTCTTTTGGAAAACATTGGTTTGCATAAGTTTTTATGTCTTGTAAAAAATCACATACACAGAATATTGCAGATTAATGGCAAACTGAATTAAAACTTACTTAAAATGGACAATTTTGTGTGAGGGGACATGCTTGAATGCGATCTTGTTTTTATCTTGAGTGTATGTTAGAATAGATGGAAGATGAAGAATAGATGGAATTACGGCTTTTTCTATGCCAGTAGCAGGTTGGTCAGTTGCTGGTCTCAGTCTTGAGACAAAATAACTGTATTTATATATAAAACATGTAGATAGCAACTATCAGTCATTAGTTAGATGCAAGTAATTGCTTTTCTCCTGGTCTTCTGACATAAGATCAACATAAGTAAGTCTAATAGGAAACAGGCAGAATAGTTGCCACATGTCTTGTTTCCTTGCTGGTTTGGATCTGTACCCTGTTTAACCTGTTCTCTGTACGACAGTAGCAAGTCTTCAGGGAAGAATTAAAAAAAAAAAAAAAGTATGAAACACTCCTTCCCTGCTGTCAGGACTTTAATCTTCTTGAGAAAATTATTTCTGAACCATCCTCAATAACACTCCTGACAGATCCAACTGCTCAGAGCCTATCCTTGTTTTTTTAAGCTCACGTTATCTCTGGTCTCCCCAGTTGCCTGTGGCAGCACAGCAAGTGCCATGGCTGAGTCAACATTGAGGCAGAAATGAACTTGATTTTGTTCACACTCATTTTCAGGGACTCTGTTCGAAATACGGGGGGCGTAATGTTCAAAGATGCAGCTCTCAGGGAGTTTTGTTTGTGCAAGCTAATGTTTGTGAAAACTAATCTCTAGGATCACAATTATTCACTGCCTTGTATCCTCCGTAGTCATTTAGCATGTCTAAAATGTAAATAAGTCCAAAAGACAGGAGAGGCCATGAAAAAGTAGTATTTGTAATTCACATTGCATAAGTTTAACTGATTGCCCAAGATATCGCGCAATAGAAATTAAATTGAGCTGCCTCAAAGGTGCATCGCATTCAGTAGATCTTGAAAAGGACCACATTTCCATCTCCTGAGGAGAATACAGAAAGGTATAACTAAGTAGCTGGGTCCCAAGGAGATCACACTTGATTTTCCCAAACTTTTATATATCTCATGCATGGAGACAGGAGCCAAACAAAACAAACCCATCCCTGGAAACATTCAAGTTCAGGTTGGAAGGGGCTCTGAGCAACCTGGTCCATTGAAGATGCCCCTGGTCACTGCAGGGGGGTTGGACTAGATAACTTTTAAAGGTCCCTTCCGACCCAAACCATTCTATGATTCTATGAAATCCCTCAGTCCCCACCCAACAAAACCCCCTTCAGGTGACAGTAAAGCAGGGAGAAAAGCAAGCACCATGCTACCTCCCTGTGACCTTGACAGACCACCTAATCTCCCAGGCCAAGTGTAACGGGATGGCTTTGCCTCTTCTCTGTAGGTGGTAGCCATATCCGATCGTCATCCCTGCAGGACAGAGAAGCTGCAGCCCCACCAGGGTGAACTCCTCCAGGTGCTGTACAGCGAAGAGGAGGTGCGGGGCTTGGGCTGCAAGCAGCGGGGACCCTGCCCCACCAAGGCCACTGCCTCCCACAGTAAGTTCACCAAAGTTGCTTTATTCCTCCATTGCTTCAGAACATTTTTAGATATTGCAGTCTTCCAGTTTGCAATAGCAAAAAGCAGGCACTTTGTTATGTACCTGAAGGATACTTCCATGCTTAAAATGTCCAGTGGAATTAATGAGATAATGACTGTGGCATTGCAGAGCTCTTGCTTTATTCAGAGTCATAAACTCGCTTTATTCAGAGTCATAAACTCACTTTATTCAGAGTCATAAACACTCCCTTTCCAAAGGCTGACAATACTTTAGAGATGATAGATTGAGTATTACTGAGTTTGCCTGAGTCATCTTATTATATAAGATCGCTGCTCAGTTGCTTAGAACTTGCCAGAACATAATAATTTGGGATGAAATTTTAGATTCTGGATGTCAGTCACAGACCTGATTCTGTTTTTTCAACGAAAACTTGTTCAGCCTATTTGTGAGAACCCATGAAGGAAAAATCGAGTTTGTCAATGCAAAACCAAGGAAATGAGTAAACATAAATAGACTGGTCATTCAGCTCCTCCAAGGCTAGTGTACTATGTTTGGTTGAAGGTGGAACAGGGCCATGGAGTTTGGTTAGGAGTGGCCTTCTAATAAAAAAATACATCTTCTACTCTCCCTTGAAAAATCATGCAGATGCAGTCAAGTCATAAGCCTTTGAAAAAAACCCATATGGCACGTTTGGTACAGACATTGGACATTTAGCTGTTAAAAGGTGCTAAATCTGTAAGCAGATACTACCATGAAGGCGCATGTTCTTCACACCACCGGTCTGCAACTGCACTGCTCATAAGCCATCCCGTTTGATCACAAAGTAGACAAGAGCAGGGCCTGGGAAACTGGAAAGGAAGAGACCGAGCTTGGGACCATAGGAAAGATCTCCAACTGGGACTGGAGCCAAGAAATGGATGAACAAAGAGCTGGGGCTTAAGGGCTGGAGCGGGCAGAGGAGGAGGAGTGGCTGGGACCAGCTACAGGGTAGAGGGTAGCAGAGCCAGTTGGGAAGCTGGTCTCTGCTGTTAGAGGAAGCAAAAGGTAAAGCATGACAGATAGGTGCAAACAGGAGAAAAGATGTAGGAATCCAAAAAGAAGAGCAGAAAAGGGGGTAACAGTTCTTGTAGGGGGAGAAAGGGGAGAGAGTGGGCAAAGAAACTGGGATGCTAAATGGGAAAGAGGGAGAAACTAAGTTTAAATTAGAACAAAACAGAGACAAAAAGGACTGACTGAGGAGTGGAAGGAGGGAGTGAGGAGAACAGGACAAGACAAACCTACCAGGAGCACCTGGACAAGACAAGAGAGCTACTGCAGGGCTGGCTAAGCTTGTGCAGCACAGTGAGGCAGTTTGTCAGATCCCTGCTCCCCCCAGCACAGAAGGTGCTTGGGACCACGGCAGGACGTTTCCTGCAATAGCTCCCTAAACTCTGTCCATCACTGCCACCAGACTCCTCAGTGATGCTTGTCACCTCACACAACCAATGTAACTCCCTTGTCTGGGTGCCTGCTTCACATCTCTGGCTGCAACACCTGGGAGCACTCAGTTCCTGCTGCACTAAAAAGTGTGCTTTGGCTATGAACAGCGCTGCATCCTTCTCAAGCCTCTGAAAAACTGGATCCCAGGAACTTCTGATCTGAAACTCAGTACTTACCTCTGTTTTCCTGGCATAACTCCTTGTCCTCCAGGAGTTGATGAAGCTGGTTTTTAAAACACTTGTGCAGATGATGACCACAGTGATCAGCAATTCAGAAGAGCCCATGAAAATATTAATAGTCCTGTCTTCAGAGGATTCACTGGTGGGGAAAGTAAGTACAGGACTCTGCACTGAGAAATAAACGCTAAGGATGAACAACTGCTTTCTGAGTGAACACCATCTATATGAGTGAAGCAGAAAGTCTGTGGAAAAATGGTTTCTGGTCACAAATTAGAGACTGAATCTCAATGTCTAGATCCTTCAGAGGGATGTAATAACTTTGATCCACTTCTGGTGTTTCATAAATTTTGAGTGTCTGACTTTACAGATTTAGCACTTTAAGGGGAGGAAAGTAGAAGTGTTTGCAAATATTTGTATGAAAATAAAAACAGCTCTTTGTTATGAAGTGCTGCAGTGTCCAGTTTCAGTATGCACTGTACTAATACTACCTACACAGAGAACAGGGTGCCATGAGAGAGTCCAGAAGGGTTTCTCCAGCTGTCTCTCAACAGCTGAAGAGCCAGCATAATGTGATAAGAAGTGAGGTATATATATGGATATGTATCATCTGTTTTCATTTATCTCTGTACAAATGTGACCTCCACATAAATTTCACCCTTCAAAAACATCCTTCTACTTTCTTACTGGAAATAGCTGTGTCTGTAGAGTTTTCCGCACTTGCTCTGTAGATAAGTACTATTGAATATTAAAGAGACTTCAGTTTTGATAAAGCACAACTTGAAATCTGGATAATAAAGTGAACAGTTCCATTTCCAGAGCAAGTGAAATATGTGTAAACAGGAGCATAGTTGAGACCATCAACACATTTATTGCTAGCATTGGAAACCTTACATAAATATCAAAGCATAAGGACAGTCCATTCCAGCTTGCAGGAAGGCAAGTAAGTGTAGCAGGAGGTCACAACAAGAAATTCCTGACTGTGATCAAAGCTGTGCTTTGCTTCAGAGGATGAAGAGATTAAAAAAAATCGCACTTATTCTCCAGGAAAGAAGCACTCAGTTTTGTACCAAGTTTTTGTGCAAGCACTCATCTTGAAAACACTGGGCAGGTCAGAATAACATATGTGGAGCAACCTTTGTCCCAGGCTTGGGCACCCATAGCACCTTCTGGAAGTGGAATTCACACCACAGCCAGCCATCAGCGTCCTGAGGAGCACTTACAAACCTGAAGCCACGAGGACTTACTTTTGCTTAGGTGTTTTGCTAAAAGTTTGCCAGAACATTTTCTGCATCTACTAAGAAGAGGGATGGGCTGAAAGGAAGAATCAGACATTATAAGAGCAAACAAAACAAACAAAAAAAAAAGGAAAACATAGACATTAGCTGAAGCACTGATGCCTGGAGCCACTTGCTGAATACTGTTAGTACCTAATATGCAAGATGAGAGGAGGTAATTGAATTAAACGCTGACATGAAGGATACAGTTAGGTACCTAATGGAATTACTGCTGAGGGGTGGGGAGCAAGAAGAGAGAGGCTGGTTCAGATATTTACCCCAGAAGGAGAAGACAGTTCTGGCCGTGAACTCAGGCTGGAGAGAGCACTATAAGCAGCATCTTGGCTATTTCTGATGTTTGCTGTTATTATTTATAGTCCATTGGTCATGGCAGTTGTGAATCATATTGTATCCTCTGTCTTGGTGAATGCTGGTACTTCTGTAGATCCTTGCTCTTCATTTACCTGAATAGCTTTTTAAAAAACAGCAGACAACTGAAAATGGCCAGAAACAGAATGAAAGAGGGGGGGAAAAAAAGATAAATCTTCACATTCCCCCAGTCAAATAGGAGGATTCATCTCTATGAGGAAAAATATGAAATCTTTCACTAATTTATTTCCTCAGCACAACTTTTTTTCAGTGAGCATTTATTTGTGGATAAGTTATTGGCTGTACACTCACTTGGAACTGGAAGGTAACCTGCAGGGTTGAGGGCAGCAGAGAGAGAGGTGCCGCTCCACCATGGGCAGACAGAAAGTTTAAATACCCTCCCTGTGATGGGGTGGATGTAGCACACATTTCTGCCCTGGTAAGAACAACCTCCAGGGCAACCCAGAAAGGATATTTGTGCTCCAAGATGCACAAAAACTGCGTTACCCAACCACTGCTGAGGAGCAGCAGATGTGACCGCTGATTGTATATACATACCTGGAAACTGGCTGGATGGTCACACTCAAAGAGTTGTGGTCAACAGCTCGATGTCCGAGTGGAGACCGGTGATGAGTGGTGTCCCTCAGGGGTCAGTATTGGGACCAGCACTGTTCAACATCTTTGTTGGGGACATGGACAGTGGATTGAGTGCACCCTCAGCAAGTTTGCCAACAACACCAAGCTGTGTGGTTCAGGCGACAGGCTGGAGGGACGGGATGCCATCCAGAGGGACCTTGACAGGTTTGAGAAGTGGGCCCGTGCAAACCTCATGAAGTTCATCAAGGCCAAATGTAAAGTCCTGCACCTCAGTCAGGGCAACCCCAGGCACAAATACAGGCTGGGCAGAGAATGGATCGATAGGAGCCCTGAGGAGGACTTTGGGGTACTGGTGGACAAGAAGCTCAACATGAGCCAGCAATAAGCGCTTACATCCAATAAAACCAACTTTATCCTGGGCTGCATCAAGAGAATCGTGGCCAGCAGGTCGAGGGAGGTGATTCTGTCCCCTCCTCCACTCTCATGAGGCCCCACCTGGAGTAGTGTGCCCAGTTCTGGGGCTCCCAACATAAGAAGGACGTGGACTTACTGGAGCGAGTCCAGAGGAGGCCACGAGGATGATCCGAGGGCTGGAACACCTCTCCTATGAGCACAGACTGAGAGAGTTGGGGCTGTTCAGCTTGCAGAAGAGAAGGCTCCGGGGAGATCTTATAGCGGCCTTCCAATACCTGAAGGGGGCCTACAAGAAAGCTGGGGAGGGACTTTTTACAAGGGCAGGTAGTGATAGAACAAGGGGAAATGGCTTTGAACTGGAAGAGGGTAGGTTTAGATGAGATATGAGGAAGAAGTTCTTCACTGTGAGGGTGGTCAGACACTGGAACAGGTTGCCCAAGGAAGTTGTGGATGCCCCCTCCCTGGAAGTGTTCAAGGCCAGGTTGGATGAGGCTTTGAGCAACCTGGTCTAGTGGAAGATGTCCCTGCTGATGGCAGGGGGGTTGGAACTAGATGATCTTTAAGGTCCTTTCCAACTCACACCATTCAATGATTCTATGATACATGTGTTAGCAGAGGGGAAGGGCTCCCACTTAGCTTGGTCTGCTAAGGACAGTTATAATCTCATTTGAAAAGTCTAGGAGCAAGCAGTTGAGTGACTGTCTATAATGACTTAAGCATTTCCAAAATAATTTATTTTGACATCACAGCAGATTATCATAATAAATAAACTTCTGCACTTTTGGCTATAATCAAATCTAGTGGGACCATAACCTGAGTCTGGGCTCTGTTCATGTCCAGGTTTAACTGCATGGAAGGAGGCTTTTCATACAAGCTGTGCCATTAATTACTGATAATGCCACGTTTCTTATGCATTGCAGTGGGAATTACTGACCAAGAGTCATCCAAATCCTGTAACCACCTGTTAGATGGAAAATCTTTGGTAAGTAAACACAGCAAGACCAACTACCACTGTCTGATGCATCTTAAAAGCTAGGACCTGTCAGCATGTCCCACATTAACATGTCAGTCTGCCGCAGTACGTGCAGATTTCACAGTCTTTGTTAAGGCTTTGAGACGTGATGTCTGCCAGAGGAGCCTTAGGTGGGAACAGACACTGGCATAGGACAACTGCCCCTCAAGGAACCAGGAAGGGTTGTGGGATGGAAACAGGGAGGCTCCCGTTCTGGGTGCTCAGACACCTGCAAGAGCTGGGAGGAATTAGCCTCTTGTTTCTCAGAGAATTTCACAAATTGGGAAAAAAGGTATTTTCTAAAGTGGAACAAGGATGAAATAATTCATATTCTCCAGAATGCCAACCTGACATGACAATCATTTCAATCAAAAATGGCAATAAAGCCTTGATGGGAAAACCATCATACAGAAACTAAAAATTTGTTCTGTAATGGTCAGACGAAATGTTTTGGTTAAAAATTACTCAGCTTTACTAAAACATTTCCGCCCCCCTTCTTTTTCTTACCAAAAAACAATTTCCAAAGTCCTTACACTTTATAAAAACTAGATTTTCAAACAGAAAAAAGTCTTTTGGAAAGATTCTGACCAACACCAAACTATGCTATAAAAACTTTATGGCTTCAAATGCTCTTTTGGATGGCTGCAATGTACTTGCCAGCTGGTAGCTGGGCTACACTCGAGAAAAGTGACTGTACAATATTTAAGAATGGTTAAAAGTAATGGCATTCAGTGTAATGAAAGTAACTGCACCTACCAATAATTAACTTGGTTAAACTTCAAAGGACGCTTGCAAAAGTGACTTCAAATATTTTTAAGTCTTGGGATACTTGCAGAGCACACCTAAAGTATCCAGTCTATCCAGTCTCCGATTAATCCCAGGGGAAAAGCTGTAGTAGTGACAATAAAAAGTTATAATAGTGACAATAATATGAAGAATTTTTCAGTATTGCCAGCAAAATCAGTAAGTGTGTTTATTGCCTCAAATTATGAGAGCACATCACAATTTTTGACTTTTTTTTCTATTTCTGGGCAGCCCACACTTTAGTTTACCATCTTGGAGGCTATGCCGGTCTCAGTGGTCTGTTAATGAGGAAATGTGACTCAGTTCCAATGGGCAATTTATGATCAAATAAAATAAGGAGGAAGCCAATGATTAGGCATTTGCAGGACCGTGGCAGACTGGGGGCATGAACCAGGGCCCCCCACTTCACAGAGCAGCACCCAGCAGAATGAGGAAACATTTCTGGGCACTGAAGAAGTGGTGATGGCTGGGACAGCCAGCAGCAGTGGTGGCCTGTGAAGGGTCACAGGAGGCTGCTCAGCCAGCAGAAAGCCTCCTCAGGAAGGCAGACATGAGAAATAGTGAATAAAAAGGTCTGCAGCCCTCCCTCCTTCAATGGGAGGTGTAATTCTTTCTCATACAACCTCCATGCTGAGCTCAGTGAGACCATTCATGTGAGCAAAGAACATTTGTGTGGCTAAGAGTTGGGCAGTCAAGTCCTTAACCTGCTTTCTCTTTTTAAGAGATTGACAGTACTTCTTGATTTTCCTAAAACAGCCTCTTTCCTCAGACCAACCAGGGGTCCCTACTCATTGGCAGCATTTCCTAATGACATGCTTCTTCCACAGTTCCCACCATCGCCGGTTGCCCATACCACAGTGAAAGCAGCGGCTGTCACAGACTCGCCCGCAGGCGATGGCACTTCTACAGATGAGTAAGTCCCTTCCACTCCCTTCCCACTCCTCCAGCCAAGCTGGGGGCTGCACAGGGCACTGCCGGGCAGGGGAGGGTTTGGGGCACCTCTGCCGCAGGTCACCCTCTTGTCAGAAACATGAAGAAGTGCTCAGCTGCCAATCTCCTCTGAACCGGAGCTGTAAAAGCTTGGTGATTTACAGCAAAGCCTTGCTGCTTGCTTCCCAGAAGCAGTGAGAGATCAGCTAAAGGACATGCTGATTGCATTGTCAGCCATGGCTGTTTATACATCTACCCCAGTGCTAGTTACAGCTCTGTTTTATCACTAGGAAAAAAGCATCTAAATTAAAATTTTCATTATTTTCCCCCGAAAGAAGTCTATAATATTTGCCTTAACACAGATTATAAAGTGTAATGAAGTATTTTTTAAACAAAGCTTTATTGTCTTTTAAGTGTAGTTAAGGAACAGGTAGGCGATAGCACAAATGCATCTCATCAGCAGACAGTTAACCCAGATTTGGGAGATATTTGAGATGCCGCCATTGCCACCTGGGGAACAGTGACAAGCTCATTGCCACAGTGTCCCCACACTTTGTACACAGAGACATAAATTCCCCTCAGCCAGTGTAAGCCAGCATAGCCCCCTTGGCCAAGTGGAGCTTGCCTTGCCTGGGAACTGCTGCATGGTCCCCAGGGAAGGTGGAAGGACCCAGCTCTGTCCCTGGGCCACCTACCAGCTTCTTGTCTAGTGGCAAATGCTGCAGAGGATGCACCTAGTAGTGGTCCCACTTGTAGCCCATCCTCCCCTCATGTGAGTGTTCACTCTGATAGCAAGGGACTGCGGGGCACCAAGTGGTGTGGGGGCAGCTGCAGCGTCCAAGCCCACTGCCCCGCACAGCCCCTGCTCACCCCGGACTCCCCGGTCCCAGGGACGGGCCAGGTGCAGACATCCCTTTGCACACGGGCAGCCGTTGGTTGTCAGCAGCCGGTCATCATAGGCAGGGAAGAAGAGCCACGGAGATGAATGCTTTATGCATCTGTCCTTTATTTGCTAGCCACCAGCAGCACTGGAGGAAGACAGCAGAGTATGATCTGACCCTGCCACCAGGAGCAGAAGCTTCCCTACCGCTGACGGGAGGCAACCTGTGTGGGACACCCAGCCTCCTGAGGAAGATGTGGATGAAGCACAAGAAGAAGTCAGAGTACCTGGGAGCAACAAACAGTGCCTTTGAGGCAGACTGATGAAGCTCAGCATCACTTGGACAGACAGAAGGTCCTTTAGCCAGGACAAAGTGCTCTAGGATTGATAAGGGAACAGACACAGCGCAGCGCACCCAGCAAAACAGTATCCTTTTCATTACTTGATGCCATTGCCTCAGAACAGTGGGAGAAAGGCTAACTAAGGTAAAAACGGTGAACATGATGTCCTTTCTTTGTTGCAATATACTAAAATCCCAAGTATCTCACTAGATTTATGTCTTGATTCTGTGTTGTTGAAACTGCTGCTGGCTCACCAAGAGGTTTGTGTATTCCTGCAAGGCAACAGGTCGATTACAGAGTGCCATTAAATTCCAGGGGTCTGCTCAGTCTGTACCACTGCTTGTCCTCTTCCCCCTCTCATATCATGAGATAAAAAACACATCTTACAATATGCTTGGTTGAATGACATATGCTCAGCATGGTTTTTTCTTCAGTTTTGATGTTTCAAGACAGGAGGAAAAGATGCAAAAATTATAAAAGAACATGTCAGAACTGAGCAAGTTTGCAAACACACGTTTACCAAACTTCGCTACATGACAAGGGATTGGTGTTTCAAAGTGCCCTGCCAGATCCAACTATGAGCAACTGGATAACCTCAAGATATACTTTCTTCCATAGAACTTGCTTATATGCTAAGTGGTAGTCACCAACTTACTGTCTGCTCATGTAGTACAGGGTATTTCACAAAGTGCACAAAATACTAGGAGGAAGGGGAATATGTAAATGGGGCAACTAGATGGCTAAACATGAGACATTTGCATATAGGAGACCTGTGCTTATTAATAGATATATTATTTAATGGAATTTGCTCAAAAAATTTTCTCCAATTTTTTCGTATTCGTAAATTTCTGGGCCCCTTGGATTTTCCTCTCAAAAAAAGAAAAAAAAAAGGATTATCAAAAAAGGGTTCACGATTGTTATAGACAATATTATATTAGTCATGAACAGTACTTGCCACATATGAGTGCTCCCCTGGTTGTTACAAAAGACTTTGGTTTGTCTAAATACAGAACTCTAAATATAAAATTGGAGGAAGTGTATCTCCTGTTTCTCATAGTAATGATGATCTTCTCTAATATAACTGCCAGCGCACCAAAGCATAAATGAAAAATAAAAGTCTTACTCTCTGAAAGAAGCAGAGGAAAGAAGTTCCCATCTGAAACTTGCGTGTCTGCAGCCAGTGTAGTAAAACACACTGAGATGCCATCATACATAGTGCTGCAGTACCAAGGTGAGGAGGCTCCAGAGCCATGAGCCCACCAAAGGTCTGAATGGTCCATTGGCAGCGTTAACAGTGGTTACAGCTCCTGCCCCTCCTACCACAACCACCTGGGCAACTTCTGCACTTGGGGTACCTGCTGACTTCATCCACTGCTGGTGTTAAGGTCATCTTCAACTTGGACTTAGAAAAATGCATATTTTGAATTTCTCTTATAATGCAGGACTGAGGGGGCCTTGGATGACAGCCTGCAGAGCTGCAGGCTCGGGCAATTATCCCCGGTCAGGGGTCACCAGCTCAGAAGTACCAGGGCACCACCAGGTCAGGAGGGAAAGGCTGCTCAAGCAGCGAGGTCCCCTGGCTTTGAGGTGAGCGAGGTGGAGCAGCGCACAGGAAAAGTTCACAGCTGGCCAACCTAAGCAAACAAAGTTCATGGGATGGGAAAGAAACTGGAGCAGCCCAGTAGCTTTACAGAGCAAATATCCCCAGTGGCTCCAAGGAGGGCAGCAGGGGACACCTGTGGGGGCTGGACATGCTAGAGAAGGCAGTAGGATGGAGGTGGAAGTTCTTATTTGAAAAGGTACTATGGCTTTTCATACAGCCAGAGCCAACTCAGTCCAGAGTCTGCCAAGGAGGGGAGAGGTACTAGACCTCCATAAAATACCTCTGTCAGCCCTCATGTTCAGCTGTCCATCACTGCTTCAGTCACAGGCTTCTCCTTCAGAGGTTCTCAACAACTCAGAGGACAGCCTTGCAGCTAGAAATCGCACACTCTCCCCTCCTCCTTACCAAAGGCAAAAGTCCTCTGTCCCAGCAGCCTCACAGAGGGATGACTGGCTCTCCTGCTTTTCTTTCTTCCTCCTGGGAAAGAAGGAGAACCATGTGCTGAAGTGCCCCAGCTGCTGACAAGGCAAGGAGAAGAGGAGATGGTGTTCCAGTATTGACCATGTGTTGCCAGCCATGGCATGCAAGAGCAAAGCTGATGCCTGCCGAAGGCTGCACATCTGAACAGCACCAGAGCAGTTTTCTCACAGGGATCCACCCCACCTTTAAATTAGAGCCTGACACATTGCCCCTGTGTAATAGTCCGGACACCGTGACCCTGCCAACATCAAGTCCTCCATGACTGAACCAAGCTGGAGTCATGGCCAAGATTTTCCTCAAATGTCTTATACAAATATCACCAACCACACTACACCCAACTCCTCAGCCCACAGAAGTCCTGGCAGAAGCCTTGTAGGCACATGCTGTTCTTACACACACAGGTAAATCTAGTAAATTCAGTGGGACTACTCTCTTGCACATCAACACATACACTCAGGGAGTAGAGAGAACAGAAATCACCAGTTCCCTTTTTGGTCTCACTCCCTAAAGGAAAAACAAAGAAGATGGACAGACATTGGGGAAAGTCCATCTGCTGCATTTGGGGCAGTTAAGACAGTGAGTGTTTGTGGTACCTGCCCTCGTAGCTGACATGACCCATAGAGCACCTAACACACAGTCCAGGGCAGCAAGAGTTTTGTCTGTATTGTAGTATTTCTTTTGTTAATTAACAATTAATAAGCAGTATGAGAATGGAGGATAAGAGGAGATGATTAATGTTTCCACTTAATAATTGCTGTATCTTGAAATGTGTATTTATGGTTCTCTTATTTATTTAATTTATAATTTGGATCTACAAGAGAAGGAGAGATTTACAAGATGCATATTTAATTTCTCTGTATTCCAGAAACTGCTGTGGAGATTTCTTGTAGTAGATGCTTATTTTATTCATTCAAATAAAATATGTCCTATTCATTAAAAAAAAAACAAAAAAAACAAAAAAAAACACAAAAAAAAACAAACAAAAAAAAGAAACAAGTAGCATGTGGTAAAGTACGGGTCCCAGTGACTTAAAAACTTTGGGGAAGCATTTAGTGGGAAGTAAAGTCAAGGTTTATGATACTGAAGAACATGAACACCCGATGGCAAGGAACCCAAATTTTGTTCCCCACAGGGAGAGCCTGGAAGTGTCTGTGAGCAGCTCCAATGTCATCCCTTATTATCCAGCACAGAGAGAAGAGCCCTGGCACCACCAGCAGTTAGACACTAGATACACAGTTACACACCTCACCTCAAGCACATTATGGACACCATGTTTAGTCTCACTGTGTCCCTGGGCTGGGAGCAGTGTCACCTCCCTCCTCCCGCCCATCAAATAGGAGCACCAAGACAGAGACTCCTCAAGGATAGTTAAGGCTTTGGAAGAGAATAAAACCAAGCCCTCCACATCTCCAGTCCTATCAGCTGACAACAGAGTCACTCAACATACCTCAACGTACCTCATGCTGCAATGGATGGCTACAAACTCTTCAGGAGGGACAGGCAGGGGAGAAGAGGAGGAGGGGCA